AAACTTTTCTATAATTTAATAAACATTACTAATGCCTTAAGCTGAAGAAATATTGTTATAATCTGAATACTTCATAAAATTTATTTAGAATACTGTGTTTTGGTCAGAGAACAAAACCTTAACCATGATTCCTCTTTTACATATTAATAAACTTATAATGCCAAACAAAATCATTTGTAAATAGGTAAAGAAATAATAAATAAGACTTACAATCAATTTAATTTAACTATCAGACACCGGTTTCGCTTTCTACAATATGCAAAGCATCCTCAGGTCTCTATACAAAGTTAAACAAATGATGCCGGTACCCTATTAATTGATGGATGGTAGAACATGGTTGAAACTGGTATGTATTGTTGAATGGAGAACTCAATTCTATTATTGCAGTTGTTTGACAGTAAACGGAAGTTCTTGAGGAGATAGATTTGATCCAATGAAGAAGAGATATGTGTGTGATTGTTTGTTAAATTAATAACATATATCTTCTTCATTGGATCAAATCTATCTCCTCAAGAACTTCCCGTTTACTGTCAAACAACTGCAATAATAGAATTGAGTTCTCCATTCAACAATACATAGTAGTTTCAACCATGTTCTACCATCCATCAATTAATAGAGTACCGGCATCATTTGTTTAACTTTGTATCGAGACCTGAGGATGCTTTGCATATTGTAGAAAGCGAAACCGGTCGTCTGATAGTTAAATTAAATTGATTGTGAGTAAGTCTTATTTATTATTTCTTTACCTATTTGAAATGGACTCACACAAGCAACACATTCATGATTTAAAATAATTTGTGATATAATTGTTCCAAATAAGATTAAAATTTTAAGGTGTAGTCAGGGATAATCAAAGCTTTCCCGTCTCTGTAACGAGAGTCATACGTTTTTATCATATACTGGTACGGTGACAAATTTATTTAATAAACAAGCATGGTCGAAAACCTACCAGAAAAACTAGCATACAGTGTGACCAAATTATCTAGTTTTAGGACACACTGATGATGGAATATAGATTCCGAAAAATAATTTTTTGTGATACATGATATACAGCCAGCTACAGGACTTAGTTTCCTCGTGAATTCTATTTTAATAGTTTTAAACAGCTAATGTTTTATAGCTGTGGAAGTTGTGGAAGTTGAAGTTGTGGAAGTCTTACTGACTAAGTGTCTAACAGAAAAAAGAATACCCAGCCTATGGGAAAACGCCGAAATAATACTTTTACACAAGAAAGGAGACGCTACTAATATTGAAAACTACAGACCTATAAGTTTGTTGTCACACTTATACAAATTGTTAACAAGAATAATAACCAACCGCATAACACAAAAACTTGATTTATATCAACCGGTTGAACAGGCGGGATTTAGAAAAGGGTTTGGTACTAATAATCACTTACAAACCATCAGAACACTAGTAGAAAAAACCACAGAATATAATGTACCTTTACATATGGCATTTATCGACTTTCACAAGGCTTTCGATAGTATTGAGACTTGGTCCTTTTTGTTAGCCCTGAAGGATGCTCGAATAGACTCACGGTACACTACACTCATTAAAAACATTTATGAACAGGCCACATTCCACATCAAAATCAATGAAGACGAAAAAACTGAAAAAATGCGCCTTGATAAAGGTATTAGACAAGGTGATACTATTTCACCAAAGCTTTTTACCTTAGCATTGGAAAATGTATTCAAACGGCTTGACTGGGAGGAAAAAGAGTCTAAACATTGATGGTGTACGTTTGAGTCATTTGAGGTTTGCTGATGACATAGTATTATTTAGTACAGATATCAAAGAACTGGAGCAAATGTTGAAGGAATTAAACCAGCAGTCAAATAAAATAGGTCTCAAAATGAACCTTCAGAAAACAAAAATAATGAGTAATTTACAAACTAATCTTGTTATTGACAACGTCAGTCTTGAAAATGTAGACCACTATATATATCTTGGACATACCATTAAAATCGGCAAAGAAAATCAAATAGCCGAAATAAAAAGACGCATACAACTGTCTTGGGGAGCTTTCGACAAATTAAGCTTTATTTTGAAGAATAAAGATATACCAATGTGTCTAAAACGTAGAATTTATGACAAATGTATCTTGCCTGTAACTACATATGGACTGGAGACCATGGCCTTCACAAAGAAAACCTTAGAGCAGCTCAGTACAACCCAAAGAGCAATGGAGAGGGCCATGCTAGGGATTAGTTTGAGAGACAGGATTCGAAATTACGTCATTCGTGAAAGAACAAAAATTACTGATGTCTCAGAACGTATTGCAAGGCTCAAGTGGCAATGGGTCGGACACATTGCCCGAGATAATACCGAAAAATGGACACAAAGATTAACAAACTGGAGACCAAGAGAGAACAGGCGAGGAGTAGGCAGACCGCAGAAGAGGTGGACAGACGATATCAAACAAGTCGCGGGCAAGCAGTGGATGAGAATTGTCAAAAGTAGAAATCGATGGAAGCAAATGGAAGAGGCCTATGTCCAGCAGTGGACGAACACAGGCTGAAGAAGAATCTTTCATATATACATCTTCTTCTTCTTTCAGTACTTTGTCCGATTATCGAACGTTGGCAACGTTTGCAATAAATAACTTTGTTTACGGCTGCTCTAAATAAATTAGCGGTGGTTTCTTGATACCATTCTCGGAGATTTCGGAGCCAGGATGTTTTTCTTCGGCCTGGGCCACTTCTTCCGGCGATAATATCCTGTATTATGAGGTGTAGAAGGTCATACCTCTCTGGATGTCTCATTACATGACCGAAATATTGTAACTTTCTAATTTTTATCGTTTTTGTTATTTCTGTGCTCTCTCATTCGATGTAAAACTATTTCATTTCTTATTCTATCAACCCAACTTATCCCCAATGTCGATAAATCCACATTTCAAAGACCATCCACTTTTTTTTATTAATGTCTCTGTAAGGGTCCAACTTTCCATACCATACAGCAATAATTGGAGAATATGTAGCAGTATAAATTCTCGAGTGCAGTATTCTTAGGAAAATTTTCAGTACATGACTCATCAGACTGATAGTGCGATGATCGCCACACTGTTTGGAATTTATTTTTTTCTGTATCATTACAAATGTTGACAGTAACCACTCTGTTGGTATATGTCCGTCCTGTTTCTCTTTGTATTTCATCGAGTATTATGTTTGGACTACTCGATATATTTTCGATTTGAATTTCTGTTCGTCATGAAACAGCTCCTCAATATATTCTTTCCACCTCTCTAATCTGTCTTGTTAATTGACTATAGTATTTTCTTGTTTATCAAGTAAACCACTTGCAGTTGATCTATACAGTGAAAGTCTTAATTATGGAATATTATCATTATTTTGAGAACCGTTGAGTTTTGAGGGAAATCCCGAAACAGGTCGTTTTTTGTTATAAAATACCCATCTTATAACGTACATGGAGTAGGGATGACGTCACCGGTGTAGGTGTAGTGACGTAATCGTTAGTTTTTTTTAAATAGAAATCGGTAAAATGCGACACCTCATTTAATCGAGAATTTAATTCTCTATTCAACGACATTACATTTTTAACTAAAATATTTTTTTAAGGGTACAAAAACAATTGTTTTTAATTTAGATTCAACTAAATTACAACTAATGATTTAATTAATAATACAGTGTAGGTAAAATTTTAAGGTCGGTATGGTAATATTTAACAGGATATCTAACGCAGATATAAAATCATATTTTCAATGAATTAGACAAAGATAACAATCATATTTCCCCTTCGTCTCCCCTCCTAAAATCCTTTTAAAACTCATTGGCCATTGCCCATTAGTGAGACGATTAGTTCCGATCAGATATTCTCTGGTTCCGATCCTAATATACCTAAAAAACTAGAGGTGGGTCTTCTCGTTTTTTTAATTTTTATCGGAACAGTTTTTCGTAAACTGTAACTAGTTGATTGTTTACCAGTATTCAAATTAGCGAGTACACAAACATATTAGCTATTATCGTTTATGTGTATAAGTATTGAAATAAAGGAACCTAACGAAGGATATATTTATTATAACTTGAAAAATAAATTAAATAATACAAATGGTACTTAAATAGTTACATTTACATTACACATTATTAAATCGCGAATCGTCTAAATTGACATTTAAAAACATAAGTTTTTCCACTTTTCTTGTTAATCGCGTTCTTCTTTTATTTAAAATTATACCAGATGTTAAACATGTGTTCACAAGGAAAAGATTTTGTTACAATACTACAACATTTTATGAATATAGTGGTTAAGTTACGATATACATGGCGATGGTTTTTTCACCACGGTAATGGACAGTTCCAATCTCCGTTCGAAATTGTTTGTGGGTAATATATCATCAGACAATTACATGTCGACTTCTTTTATACCTCTCGATACAGGTGTATGTTTAGATGAGTCATGTCCAATTAATTCATCAAAAATACACCATGGACTTAAGTCATCTTTATCAGTTTCTTTTTCTTGGACTGATTGATTTTCAAGATTTACTAAACTTTTCGTTTCATCCGTTTTCCATAGTTAAAGAACCAGCTTTTAAAAAGTTTGCAGGGTGGATTCCTGGATATAAACCGCCAACAAGAAAAACTTTGTCAGGTTCATTACTTCAGGAATGTTATGTCAAAAGTGAGCAAATTATTAGATCGCAAGTTGTTAAAGAAGTAGAAAATATCTGTATTACTACTGACCTCTGGACATCTGGAGTAACTGAGAGTTACTTCGCATTAACAGGACAATATTTAACACAGGACAATAGTTTTTATGTCAATTTAGACTATTCGCGATTTAATAATAACGTGTAATGTAAATGTAAGTCCGATTTACTATTTGTATTGTTTAGTTTAGAACAGAATATTTAAAACAGAATATTTAAAAATTGGAGGAAATACCACAGATCTGAGGCTTGAAAACGCAGTCATAAAAGGCTGCAACCAGTATAAATATCTAGGAAGCATCATATCAGCAGATGGCAGAGTTAA